TGTGTGTGTCTGTGTGTGTGTGTGTGTGTGTGTGTGTGTGTCTGTGTGTGTCTGTGTGAACACCCACCTGCACGATCCCAGCTGTTCAGGTAATCTCTCTCTCCAGGTTCCCGTCGTTTGTTCACCCCGTTGCCCTTCCTCTCACCCCTCGCTGAAAGAGAATACGGAGCATGTCATTCCTGCTCCAACTGATCTGTTAAGAGCTGCATCGCTTATGGCTAAAAATTCCTCCCACCAAAATAAAAACAGCATCGCTGTTCAGGAAAGAAACACAATGCATTACCAGACCATGAAGGTATAATGTTGTTGACTGTAATTAAAAGGACTAGAGCACTCCAAAATGAAGCATCTGTCATCATTCACTTTATTCATGACTTTATTTTTTTCAGTGGAACCCAAAAGATATTCAACAGAATGTGCAGACTGCTCTTTTCCATATTAAAGTGAATGTGGACGGATGCAAATGACAAAAAGCACCATTAAAGTATCATAATAGTAGACCATACAACGCCTAATGATTATTGTCATGAGTCATATGATGCCTTGTATAAGGATCAGACCTGAATTTGAGTCATTATTTGCTGAATCTAACCTCTGATGTTGCTCTTGAATCTCATCTGTGCTTCTGTTCATTCAAACATTTTGTCTCATGTGTCATAAAAAAATAAAATAAATAAATGTCAAAGTAAAAAAAAAAAGTCAAAAAAATAAATAAAAAATGTTACTTGAAATAAAATAAATGTTATCTGAAATAAATAAAATAAATCAAAAAATATAAATAAATGTAAAAAATAAAATAAATAAATACAAATTTATTTCCGCTAGTTAATTGCCAAGGCAACATTTTCCTTTAGTTTAACCTGATGCACTTAACTAAAATTAGAATTTAATTCAAAATTATTACAAACTATTTAGACATACAGAATTTTTTTTACTTTGAAATAATTTTCACTCAGAAACTGCTAGTAAATTTCACAAAGAAACAGCAAGTAACACGATGCATTTAACATACATTTTTGAAGTAGAAAGACTAAAATAGTATTTTCTTGTCAAATGTATCCAATAATTTTTGTTTTATTTAGAATTTCAAAAAATATTTGTTTTACAGTGCACATAAAAAACTAACAAAAATAACAAAATACTAACACTGTAAATAAAATTACAATTAAAATAGAAAACGCAAAAATGATTTAAAGTATTAAAAAAATTATAATAGTATCTCAATGATACTAAAATAACACCAGACTGTTTCATTCACAGATGCTGCACTGAGCAACAGATGCATTAAAGATGTAATACATGCAACAGAAAAAATACAATTCAAAGCCTGTGTTTTCAGATTCTGCCCACAAAATAATAATTTAAACCATGCATTTATTCACACGCTCAAATAATGATGAATAAATGTTGGCCATGTCCACAATGGCCCTCGGCGTCCCCTCAAACGACAACTATTCTTACAAACACACACACACACACACACTCACACACACTCACT